GTTAATCTCACCACTCTTGTGCCACAGTCGTCGTCGTTGTCGTCGCACTGCAATGTTTATAAAAGTCGTTGGATGCTGCTACTGCTATCGTTGTTGTGCTTGTGTTGTCAGTGGTTCTTGGTGTTGCTGTTGAAATGAAAGAGATGCTGTTTTGTTGGTAAGTGGTTCATTACACAGGCCTACATTTTTTGCATAAAGAGAAGAATAATCAATTTGATATGAAAAACCTATGATTATAAATTAAAACGATTATATCTTTGGCTAGCAAAGGAATTTTTTGGTTGTGTCTTTTAAAATAAATAGAAAAATTTAAAATAAAAAAGAAGATACGTGTAATTTTAAAAAGTAACCAAAATAAGGAGGTAAGTTCTCTCCTCTTCCACACTTTTAAAAATTTTCCGATTAAGATTTCTCGGAATCCGTACATTTTAGGTATATAGTGCCGTCGGCAATATTGCAGATAAAAATACGGGAATATTTATACTTACTAAAATATGCTTAAAAACTCACTTCAAATCGGATCGTAGCAAGTTAAAATATTCTACATAATTATTTGTCATAAAATTCTACCTGTATGCAATTGAGACAATTTTTTGGGAACTAAACCCCGTTTAAGTGCAAAGTTAATATTCGTTTTAGAGATTCACATCTTTCTGATAGAATTTTTGTGGGAAAGATACCAGAAGGAGTAAACTGGCATTGCCAGTAATGGGAGGAAGTGAGCCTATATTATCTATATTATCTCTTTAAAAAAAATTTGGATGCACAAAGTTTGCACCACAAAGTTTGGATATAGAAAACTCCTCAGTATCCTAACAGCATTTTTAAGAATCTATGCATAATATTTTTCTATAAAGCAACTTCCTAAAAGCTGAGGATTAAATTTGTTCCTTTTGAAAAATAGCATCAGAAGCTGAGGCCTGAACTTCTTCCATAGCAAAAATACCCTCAGAAGAAGGGTTTCCTTAGTTTTTTAGCCTAGTGCACAAATTTCTATTTAAAAGTTGAGGCGCATTTTTTTTTTGTGAAAAAAAGCCTCAGATGCTGCTGCCCATATTTTTTTCTATGGAAAAAAAAAAAAAGAATCCGGAATGTTGGGGCCTGAATTTTTGTCTTTAGACACAATAGCGGTGCCCTCAGAAGCAGGGTCCCGAGGTTTTTTCTTTAGGCTCGAGCCCAAATTTCTTTTCAGAAATTAAAAAGCGTTTTTTTAAGCTTCAGAATCTGGGGTCCAATTTTTTTCTATTGAAAAAACTATCCTCCGTACTGTTATGGGTAGAATTTTTGCCTATAGAAAAAATAGCCTCAGAAGTTGAAGACCGATTAATTTTTAAAAATATATCCTGCGGGGGCCCGAATTTCTCCTATAGAAAAAATAGCCCCATAAGCATAGCCCGAAATTTTTTCTTAAGGCTCGAGTCCGAATTCCTTTTCAGAGTTTGAGGAGCTTTTTTTCTAGATAGGAAACAAAAATAGCCTTTGAATCTGAGGAATAGTCTCAGAAATGCATTTCCTTAATTTTTTTCTTTAGACTCGGGTCCGAATTTCTTTTCTGAAATTGAGAAGCGGTTTTTTTTTAATGGCTCAGAATCTGAGGTAAATTTTTTTTAATTGAAAAAAAAAAACTATCTTCCGGACTGTTAAGGCTCGAATTTTTATCTATAGAAAAGAAAGCCTCAGAAGCTGAAGACCGTTTTTTTCTATAAAAAAAACTGATCTCAGAACTGCTCGAATTTTTCCTTTTGAAAAAAATTGCCCCAGAAGAAGGTGCCGGTAGTTTTTCTTTAGGCTTGGGCCCGAATTTCTTTTCAGAAGTTAAAAACTCAAAAATAGCCCCAGAAGATGAGGTGCGAATAGCCTCAGAAATATGTTTTTTTTTTAGTTTTTTTTTCTTTTCAAAACATTAGGCGCTATTTTTCTTTTTGTAAAAAAAAACCCTCAGAAGCTAAAGTCAATTTTTTTTGGAAAATGCAGACTAAATTTTTTTTCTATAAAAAAAAACCTTCTGGACTGCTTAAGACCGAATTTTTGTCTGTAGAAAAAATTTCTTCAGAAGCTGAAGAAAGCAGGTGCCCGTACTTTTTTCTTTAGGTTAGGTCCCAAATTTATTTTCAGATGTTATATTGAAAACAAAAATGGCCTCAGAAGCGATTTTTTTTTCTATAAAATAAACTCCTCAGGACGGCTATATGGAAAAAACTAGCCTCCGAACTGCTGAGAGTTATAGTGCACATCAGCCGAACAGATACACATTTGGGCCTTATCAAAAGATGTGGCTAAACGACTTAGGGTTCTAAAATAGAAAAACTATTCGGAATCAGAGCCGAGTTTTTAATGACTTTGACTCCATCCAAAATTGCTCGATTCAAACCCTTAGACCTCGACTTCGCAACCTTGGTCCCAACGGCAGCAAATTAAATGGTTGAGGATTAAAAAATAAAATTCCAAAAATATGTGCAAAAATATGTATTTTCCGGAAGTTGACATATTCCAAATATACCTTTGCCTAGGATCCCTAAAGGAGACTTTTAAAAATTCACTACAAATTTTGAAATCCTGTACGCCTGTGTTTTTCGAGACAAATGTTGATGCTGTGACTGCTGCAGCAGATGAAATCCTCACTACACTTGTGTGTGTGGCAGGTACACTTTTACACACCCTCCTTCAACACCACTACCACCAACCAATCTTTTTCCGAATGCGGAGCAGCAAAACTAAAGATGGCGCCAAATCTAATGTTACGAGTTATGCACTGTTGGAATTGAATACAACGGCAACAAACCAAACCAATACAATAACAAAAAAAAGCAAAAGCAAAAACGAAACAACACAACACAACATAAGCAGAAACAGAAGAAGCAGTACAGCAGAGGCAGCAGCCGAAAGGATAAAATAGTTATGGCACCGCTGGCAAAAGCTCAGTTATTATTGAACTGTCGTCGGCAACGGAACATCTTCCTTGAGAAGAAGAAGAAGAATGAAGTAGCATTGGCTGATATAAAAATCAAGTGTAAATGTAAGAATGAATTTCAATCCAGTGCTGGAATACAAAAACAAGTGCTGACATTTTAACATTATTTCAAATCTAATTGAAGAACTCAATTAGATTTGAGTGGCAAGAAGAAAAGATGGAAAAATGAAAAAAAGTGAAGTGCCCAACGTTTTCCCGCGCCACGTCAGAAATGCGTGCATTTAAATGTTTCAATGATTAAATGAAAACGTTTTAGTTTTCCATAAATGAAAAATTGCACCGTATAACTGGATTTTAACAAGCTCGGATACAAAACGCGGGTGTTTGTGCGTGTGTGCTTCCGTGTGTGTGTGTTTTGTGTCGGACACATTAATTCACCTTAAGTGCCGCAATTATTTAATTTAATGCGATTTACAAGCCGTTTAGTTTAAATCAAAGCTCATCTCCATTCATCCATCCATCCAAACATCAGCTGAGCCATTATTACCGCCAGCACCGTTTACCGTTACTTTTGTGTCAGTGGTGATAATCATGGGTCGCACATAAACACGTCACAGCCCCACATCGTCACTTCATTCAAAACAAACCACATGCATCACAGCAGATGGACAGACTCATTTCGGTCAGACAGTCAGTCGGTCGGCCGTTCTCAGTAGTCAATGAAACCCCCAAATCATATGGCAAGCCAGCTCTAGCATTTTATACCCTACACCACACGGTGGTCAGGGTATTATGTCTTTGTGCATTTGTTTTTAACAGGCAAAAGGAAACAAGATAGACCCATAGTTCCTTTTGATGATCTGCAGAGAATCACATTCTGAGTCGATTTATGCATGTCCGTCCGTCTGTCCATGTATTTTTGTAAACAAAGTAAAGTTCGCATTTATTGCCCGATCCAGATGAAATTTTGCACAAATAATTTGTTTGACCCAAGGACGAACCCTAATGAAATTGGAGATAATCGGTTAAAATTTAGATGTAGCTCCCATATATATCTTCGTCCGATTAGCCTTTTATTGTGCACCAAACGTGTAATATCAGCCCGAATTGTGTGGAATTTTGCATATACACCCAAATTAGGCCTGAAAATATGTATGCCAAATTTGATCGAAATCGGTTCAGATATAGCTATAGATCCCATATATGTTGTTCATCCGATTTGTAATTTTTATGCTTCGCAGCCGTAATATGCACTCTGTAACAATAATAATTGCAGAAATATGCCAAATACAGCTCAGAAATACATTTGCTAAATTTTATGGAGATCGGTTCAGATTTGGATATAGCTCCCATATATATATAACTTCGTCCGATTTACCTTTTATTGCGCACCAAACGTCTAATATTTGCCCAGATGGGATGGAATTTGGCATTTACGATCGAATTGAGTCTAGAAGCTAATATGTCAAATTTGGTAAAGATCGGTTCAGATATAGCTATAGCTCCCATATATATTGTTCATCCGATTTGTTATTTTTGTCCTCCGCAGCCGTAATATGCTCTCTGTAACAACAATATTTGGGGAAATATATCAAATACAGCTCAGAAATATCTTTGCCAAATTTTATGGAGATCGGTTCCGATTTGGATATAGCTCCCATATATATCTTTATCCGATTTCAAAATAATTGTGCACCAAATGAGCAATACAAGTCCGAATTTAAAAGATACAAATGCTTCGGCAGATTTAGTCCTTTAGTCTTTAAATTAGCGGAGCTGTACTAAATTAGCAAAGTGGTGTAGGGTATCATAAAGTCGGCCCCGCCCGACTTTAAGTTTTTCTTTACTGGTTTTGTTCTCCAATTGTCCGCTTGTTATGGGTCTCAGTGTAAACGAATTAATCCGTGAGTGAGTGGGTGGGTGTGATATTCAAAGCGAACTCCCATCATAGTCATATCTGAACAGATTTCATGTCAGTGTGCAAAACCACTGGCGGCTCAGTCGAGAATTTCTGTTTTTTTTATTTTTTGCAAATGCGTGCCGCCTCTCCAAACATTTTGTCTGGTGTGTATTTTCAAACAGCTGTTTCAGTGTTGTGTAAACAGTCAGTGGGTCAACACATCCGTATGCGGTCGTTCGCTCGTCTAACCATTCAAAACGAAAAGCCTCAAAGTCAAAATATTTGTCATTGTCGTCAGATTCGAATTCAAAACGGCAGAACGTGTTTAAGTGGCTAAAAAGTATTTTGGCTTTTACAAGTTTTTTGTTCTTTACAACTCATACCACGACTAACAACAACAACAGTGCTCTGTGGCTCACACATTCATACAAGTTTTACGTAATTTTAATTCATACCACCACCACCAACAACAAAATAAATCTCGTGATAATAACACAAAATAAAAATCCATAAATTGATTTTTGTTTTCTCCTACTCTGTCTGTCTACCTCTCTTTTGGTTTCGGTTTAACGTTAGGGCTTCCTTTTGGAAAATTCTGCACGTGTGGAATTTTCTTTCATTTTTTATTTATTTTGGACTCACATTTTCTCTTTTGTTTTTAACATCGATTCTATTTTTTTTGTTTTGCAAATAATAATAAAAAACAATAATTTATAGACGTCTATATATGCCTTTAAATAATAATAACCGTGATTTATTTACCGTTAACGTGTTTGATTGCAATTTTCGGTGTTCTCCGCTCTCTCTCTCGACAAACAATTTTTTTGTGACTTTAATTTTTATATTTTTTTTTCGTTTTTTTTTCTCTCTCTTCTCCTTCTTAAATTTCCCAACTCCAGTAAAGTGACTTTATTTACAAAGTGAGACAAAGTACTCGCCGTAAACAGCTGTAGCAGACAAAAGCGGTGCTTTTAGTTTTTGGCATCATCCACATCGCCAGACCAGAGGTTTTTGAACTCCTGCCGGAACAGTGGGTAAGTTGTGAATGAAAATAAAATAAATTACCTACATTAAAAAAAAAAAACAAGTAAGCAAAGGCTAAAGTCATCCCGGGTCGACCATGTGATACAACACTACAATATATTGGAAGCCCCCGTCCAATGTCCAAATCCATTTTTTGAAATAATGTCATAGAGTCAAGCCCACAAATTGAAAAATTAACAAAAATATTCTCTTTTTTAATGGCATATTTTAACACGATTTTCTTAGATTTTATTCTTCTTCGGCTAGTTACCATTCCAAATTGATCAGAAATCTGAAAATAATTCCAGCGGTTCCTGATTCATAAGCCGAATAACTAAGATATATTTTTCTCACATCTATATTGCACCCTTTTTTTGCTATGTACCCCATATCTTTGGTATCAGCATCACAGTAAAGGCCTAAAGTGACCTCTTCGTGTGTTTCTGGTTTTGCCAGGATTAAAGATATTCGGGGTTAATTGAAGATTTTCGTATTTTTTACATAAACTTGTGGTCTATTTTACCCGCTAAATATTATCCGATAACCAACCGCCCTAAGCCCTAGCACCGTGCTAAAATCCTTGTTGATTGGTCTATAATTGCGGCCTGTAGAGCAACTGCAAAATCAGGTAATGTTTTACTATTTTTGGGCCATTTCAACCCATAAATACAATAGGCTTCTATTCTGACCCTAACCCATCCTACATTTTCAATTTCGGGAGAATCCGGCCATAATTGCGACCTGTAGAGTGATTACAAATTAACATGGACAGACGGACATACATAGCTAGATTGAGTCAGCTCGGCGAGATAGGAAGATCCATATACTTTCCTATGTGGGAAACGAATTTTTTTGAGGTGTTACATAATTTTTGGCCCAATCGATCTTACAACACATAGTGCTGTAGGGTATAAATTGATATAAATGTAGTATTTTTTCTTTGAGGCAGAAATTTTTGAGAATTACTTCTCTTAAATCAGTGACAATGGAAATTTGAAATCACACAATTTCTGAAAAATTCAACTTTTGATCAAGAGTTAGAGTTTACAAGTAACTAACCAAAAGCTGACTCCACATCGATCCTATTTTTGCAAATAAAGTATTTCGGGATCAAAGGTCCGCCTAAAATGAAATTTTATATTGATTTTTCGGCATCAACTAGAACAAAGTCCGAGTAAAATTAATCTAAAAAATTAGGAAATATTTTCCAGTTTTTTACCCTACACCACACTGTGGTCAAGGTATTATGTATTTTTGCAGTTGTTTATACCAGAGAGAAGGAAGCGCGTTAGACACATAGTTCGTCTTGATGATATGCAAAGAATCAAATTCTGAGTCGATTTATGCATTTCCATCCAACTGTCAGTCCGCTCGTCTGTCCGTCCGTTGGTCCATGTCCGGTCAAAATGTACATATATATCTTCGTCCGATTTGCCTTTAAATGTCTACCAAAATTGTAATATTTGTAGAAATAGGTTGGAATTTAGCACATGCGACCAAATGGAACATAAAAACAAGTATATCAAATTAGATAGAAATCGGTTCAAATATATCTTATATATATGTTTCATCCGAATTGGTGTTGAAACCTCTCACATTCACCGAATTTAGCCTGAGGGTGAGATAAAAAAACTGCAACAAAGTCAAACGCTTTAATTTTAACCTTTTTTTTTAAATTTTTTTTGAATGAAAGCAAAAATTGTCGGAAATAGCATCAAATTCTAGAATAAGTTTAGATTTGTTCGAATTGGTCACCTTTGTACGAATTTTGGCCTATTATGGCCAATGAAACCGTCACACGCTGCCCGAATGTTGCTCTGCGGTATTTTGACCCAATCCAGGCGAACCTCATTTTGTAACCATTCTTGGGTGGCACGTGCTGAGTGCGATGGTGCTGAGTCCTGTTGGAATGTCCAAGGTCTGCGGTCAAAATGTTTGTTTGCCCTTCCAGAATATTTTTTGAAATAGTATTCGGCATTTATTCTGATGCCGTCGATTAATACGAGCGGAGAGCGACTATCGGCTGTTATGGCGGCTCACACCACCACCATGGCCGGCGCTTGAGTTGTGGTGGCCAACCGAAGGTGTACATTTTCAGCAAACCTTTTTAGCAAATAAACACGATCATTTTATTTGTTTACAAACTCCTGGACAATGAATGTTTTCTCATCGGAGATAACCAAATTCGGCAGTTCGCCACTTTCGGCCAAGTTCTTGCACTTTTGGAATTTCAATGGCTTCACTCCGAGCTCATTTTTCAATATTTGCGAAATGGAATATTCTGATATGTTCAACCCATGAGCCAGTTTTCGGCCACTGCCACGCGGGTTTCGATCAAGTCGCTTCTTTACTTTTCGAACCATTTCTGCTAACGTTGCTGTTTTCTTGCGTCCACTTCGCTGACGTCGGGCTACGCTACGATATATGCCATCTTCACAGCATTTATGTGTTAGTAGAAATAATGGGATGTGTGAAATATGAAGAGAACCGGACGCTTATTACGAATTCGGATTTTATGATGGTTTTAATTATTCAAAATGTTGACCCTTTGTGTTGATGGAAATATTGCGATGTGTCAACCCCGAATGGAACCGGGTGTTAATTCCGCGTTTTATGAGCTTTCGTATATATTCAAAATTTTCACACATTGTGGGGATGTATCAGAGAGATCGGACCGATATATCGCATCTTCACAGCAGATCTTGTGTTAATAGAAATAATTGGATGTGTGAAATATGAAGAGAAGCGGATACTTACTTCGGATTTTATAATAGTTTTAGTTATTCAAAACTTTGACCCTTTGTGGGGGAGGTACCAGAAGCAATGGGCTGATGCCTACCATCATTCTAACATATCTTGTTTTGATGCAACTATTGAGATGTATCAAGTCCGAATGGAATCGGATGTTAATTCCGCGTTTTACGAGCTTTCGTGTATATCCAATATGTTCACCCTTTGTGGGGAGGCACCAGAGGGAAGGGACCGATATATCTCATCTTCACAGCAGATCTTGTGTGATTTTTTATTTTGTGAGAGTCATAATTATTCAAAATTTTGACTCGTTTTGTGGGAGGTGCCAGATGGCGTGGTCCGATATACTCCATCTTCACAGCTGGTTTTGTGTTAGCACTAATGAGGTATTGGGATGTGCTTTGATAATAATGGGATGTACATTTCGGATTTTATGATCGTTTTGGTTTTTTTTTAAATTGACCCATTGTGAGGGAGGTTTAAGAAATTGTGGGTCGATATATTCCATCTTCGCACCAGGTATTGGGTTAATAAAAAATATTGTGATGTGTGAAATTTGAAGACAATCGGCCTCTTACATCACATCTTATACGGTTTCAAATTATTAAAAATGTTTACGCTTTGTGGGAGAGGTACTTGATGGAGTGGACCGATATTGTTCATTTTCGCATCTGACCTGGCACTGATTCAAATATTAGGATTTACAAAGTTGGGGTAAAATCGGATTATCGTTTCCTTTTTGTGCAGAAAATATATAATTTTTTTTGAAAATTTCAACATTTTGTGGAGGATGTACCTGAAGGAGTGGACCGATATATTCCATTTTAACACCAGACCTTGGGTTAAATATTGAGATGTGTGAAATTTGAAGACAATCGGACTCCTACATCACATCTTATAAGGTTTAAAATTATTCAAAGTGTTTACGCTTTGTGGGAGAGGTACTTGATGGAGTACACCGATATTGTCCATTTTCACAACCTGACCTAGCACTAATGTAAATATGAGGATTTGCAAAGTTAGAGCAAAATCGGATTATCCTTTCTGTTTCTGTGCAGAAAATATATTTTTTTAAAAATTTAGACCTTTTGTGGGCGAGGTACCAGAAGGAGTGAACCGATATTGCAGATCTCCGAAATCGATCTGAGTTTGGTAGTAGTATTACTTTGTACAAGTTTGGATCAAATGGGATACTCCTTTCGATAGCTATCATGCGCAAAAACTTGCCGGACAGACAGACAGACGGACGAACATCTCTAGATCGACTCCAAATGTCCTGAAATGGATTTGGTCCATAGAGACCTATGGTCCAAAAACTGTTATTTCGATGAGGACAGTTTTGGCCGTATCAAGTGATATATACCCTCTCTAGCCATATGGCTGAGAGTATAAATATGGGCAAACATTGGAAGTACTTTCGAGGGCGTACATTTAATAACATAAAAAATACCAGAATAATATAAAAAAAATAAAAATTTTGTTGAAAACTAAGCCAGAGCCCGCATTTTTCGATCTTTCCACATGATAAGATTTTTATATCTTCGACTTCAAGGATACACAAAAAATTCTTTTCAACTCTCATGTAAAAGTTCCGATCGAGTTTTTGATATTTTCGATGGTTTTAGGCACGTTCTTCTTCATCTGTAAAGCTCATAACCTCAAAAACGGCCTTCGACTTAATAAAGCTAAATTTTAAATGAAAATTAAATCATTGATTATTTTTTAAGACTTTCTGATTTCTTTAAATATTTAAAATATTTTATTTTTCATTAGATTTTTCATTAATTTGATCCTTTACACCCACTGTTCTAAAATATTCCAATGAAAAAAAGAATTTGGCTTTAAGCCATAAACATAAACTAAAAGTTGAACGATTTGGGAAATGAGAATTAAAGGGAGACAAGAAAACAACTGGTGAACTACAGTTGGTGAAAACATGAAAACACATGACTGACTGACTGACTGACAGACTGATTCTATTTTTATAACAAAAACCCACCATTCACTCACCATTCCCCAACGATAATTCCACCATTTCATTTTCATTTACCGCCAAAAAGCAACTAACAATAGCAACACCAACAACGACGACGACAACGACGAACAATCAAATCATAACCTCCATGTCCGCCATGACAACTGGCTGGCACACACTGGTGTCTGCCATTTGACTCACTTTAATCCAACCAAAAGTAGGTTTTTTTTGTTCTGCCTCCCACTTTTTTTTCATCCTTCCGACAATTGTTTTATTCTTCAACAC